CAAGAAGGTGAAGGGTAGATTTGGAGGCAAAGCTCCCGATGGCCTTGAACCAGCTGGCTCCAGTTCCTGGCAGCTGAGGTGGAGCTAGGGGGACCCTAAGAGAGGCTGGGGAGTGGAGGACCAGCTCAGGGAGCTCTGGACTCCAGAGAGTGACGTACACACAGACAGCCAGAACAGACAAACACAAAGGGCTTAGGAGGAAGGGCAGGGCCAATGGGAGCCCCTTTCTCCTGTAGTGCAGCAGGTGGTTCCCCCAAACCCATCTTTCAGACAACAGAATTTAGCATTGGGGTAGGCGAGAAGTTTGGGGCTTCACTACCACCATTCCCATGGGGGAGCCCACAGGGTAATGAGAGCGCTCTTGGAGTGAGATGGGAGGACAATAAAGAATATGACATGAAATGGGAAGGGACAATGACAGGTGAGGGCCGAGGAATCCCCACTACACCTCCCACCCATGTATGGAGCAGCATGCAGAGATCACAGAAACTAGACCAGTGGGTGTTCATGAAGGTGACTGTGAGCACAACATGGAACACCACAACAGCAAGCCAGGAAATGGATGGAAAGGTGAAGTGTGTATAAGCCATGGACCAATGAATGACTGAGCTGCCCATGGGATGAGGGAGGAGAGGAAGTGTGAGACATGTGAAACAGGAGGGAGGGTGCAGAAGACTGGCCGTACGTGGGCATGGCCTGTGAGGGTGGAGGTGAGTGTGCAAGGCTTCCATGTGAGTGTGCAAGCATGGGAAGTGAGGACCAGAAGCCACCAATACGTGAGGCCCCCACCTATAGGAGTGTGAGCAGGTAGAAGTGCCTGTGAGGCTGGGGAGTGTCCCAGGGGTGGTGTGCAAGGGTAGAGCCAGGAGCACCTGTGGTCCCTGCTCCCCACAGCTGCCCCACCCTCCTTGGGGTGGGGGCTATGATAGCCCCTTGGCCTCCTGCTTGGCGGCACCCCAGCATTGAGGGGCATCACAGATTCACCAGGGGAATCCTGAGAGGAAGAGGGAAAGGGCACAGTCAGGGACCAAGGGGTAGGTCAAAATCAAATGAGGGTCCAAGGCAAAGAGGGCAGAATGGGAGTTAAGGGCATTGTGAGAACAGGACACAGATCAAGAGAAAGTAGGGAAGGAAGAACAGTCCCCCAGATAGGAGCTGGTCCCTCCCCTGGGAACCAGGCTGGGAAGGAGAGTCAGGGGCTGTGGGAGGGCTAGGCCTGCTTCCCCCACCCCAGGGAACACCCCACCATAGCTCAGGAGAGCTGATTTGCCTTCCCACCCTTCCCTCCCACCCCATTGACCCTGCCCTCACCGGTTCAACTGGAAGGCTGGAGCCCCCTTAGGCTGGGGCATCCCAGGTCGGGGTCCCCCTCGGGGTTCCTCTTGGTCAGGGGTAGGGGTGGGTGAATCCCCGAAGGCCCCCAGCACAGTGACTCCAGCTGGGGACAGGTCTGTCAGCGGCTGTTGGCTTTCTTCCTGCCTCAGGGCACCTTGCTGCCCTGAAGGCCTGCGTCGCTTCTGGCTTCGGTCCCAGCTGGGGGGACAAGAGGTAAAAGGTTCTCTCATACAGAGGCACCCCCCTGTAATGCTGACCTGCAGCCCTGGTCACCCCCAGGCATTCCCTGTATCCCCCAGCAGAGAAACCTGGCTTTCAACAGTCCCTGTATGCAATCTTCTGGGACTGTGTGCCCATAAAACCACCTTCCCTATCCACAGGGGGCTTGGGAGTCCAGTGCTTTCAGAGCCATTCTCCAAACAGCCTAATCCAGATCCACAGAATCAGTACCCTCTCCCTACCAACACACAAGGGCTCCGAAATCCACCCGTCTCCCACACACCCAGAAGAGCCATTTCCCTCCCCTGCAGGCGCCTGACAGGTTTCGTTCTAGTTCAAAGTCAGCTAACGGACCTGGAGACCTAAATCTAATGATTCTCCCAGTAAAGTGTGAAGGACTGGAGTGACCCATTATTTAATGTGTGCAAAGAAAAAGTGCCAGGTTTTCTCCCTCTTCTCCAGGCATCTCAAAGATTGGGTCAGTTTTTTGTGTGGGAGGAAGTAGGGACAAAGGATTCCTACCAAAGCCCCCAACACTAAACTCATTATCATTGCGTCAATTCCAATTCCTTGACCCCATAGGATGGAGTAGAACTGCCCCATAGTGTTTCCAAGGTTGTAATCTTAATGGAAGCAGGCAGTCACATCTTTCCTCCATGGAGTAGCTAGTAGGTTTGACATGCTGACCTTTCAGTTAGCGGCCAAAAAAGTTTTAACCACTGTACCGGTAAAGCTCCCTTCAAAGCCTCTTATGTATATAAATAATTCCCCATCTCTTCCATTGTCCTTGTACCTCGCTGAGAGAAGGAATCTGCCCTCATTTCACACTGCCTGCTCCTTCCAAATACTTAGGCTCTTTTCCCAAGGTCTTGTCTTAATCCATAAATTCCTACCCTGCTACCTTCAGCAAAGTTGCTGCCCCAACTTCCTCCTTCCAGTCCAGACTGTCAAACATTTACTCCCTATCTACCAGCTTCCCCAGAGCTTACCAGAACTTGAAGATGATGCCGGTGGCCACAAGAACAATGACGATGGAGATGGTAATTGTGACATAGAGCTGGGGATCCACACCTGGTGAGGGGGAAAGTTTTAGGGGGAGACCTGAGGTGGTAGGAGCCAGAAAAGGGTAAAGTGGGGCTCAGAATACCAGAGTAATCCTGCCATTTGACTCTGCACTGTCCAACTCTGCTTCTCTGGCTACCCATTTCATTCTTACCATCAGCTTTCTACTGAGCGTTCGTTTCTTTTCCTTCCAAATCATCCTCTTCTACTTTCCAAGATATTTCACCAAATCTTACATGTATATTTGATGAGGGGAATCTATCTCTCAACAGAATCTACAAGTGGAGATGTCCGTTTCTGCCCTGACCCCACCCCAAACCACTGGCCCTGTCCCTCCATCATCCCTTCCTAAACTGAGACTTCACCCTGGTGTTGTTGTTGTTAAGTGTTGTTGAGTTAGTTCTGACCCACAGCAACCCTGTATAGGGTTTCCAAGGAGTGGCTTGTGAGCATGAACCACCGACCTTGCAGTTCAAATGGCTTTGCAGTCTGGCTCATTAACCCACAGTGCCATACCAGGACTTCTTCACCCTAGTAGCCCCCTTCATTAGTGGTGTTCCTCTGCGTCGAATACACCTACTCTTTTCTCAAGGCCAACTCAAATGTCAATTCCTTGAAGGTTTTCTAATCTCCAGACAGAAGTAATCACTCCCTTTTCTCTTTTCCTAAAGACATTGGGCATGTCTCTCTATTAAAGCATTAATAACATCAGTCATTCTGAATGCTTTCACATCTGTCTTCTCCAATGGACCTGAACTCCTGAAGACTCATATGACATCTTCTTCATCTCTGCAATCTGTGCCCAGCATAGTGCTTGGTGTATTTGTTGAAGGGGCTAACAGACAGGTCTCTTATTTCTGCTCCTTAGATTTTTAAGCCAGCTTTCCCATCCCTCATATCCCTACCAGCCTTTCCTACTCACCTTCCCCATGGCCCGCAAACATGAATGGCCGCAGGGTAGCAGGTGCTTCTCCAAGGATGAGCCCATCTCCATCACCCCGCATGGAGTCTGAGTTGGGATGGGGGGTAGCCAGCCCATGGGGGGCTGCAAAGCCATAGTCCAGGGGCAGAAATCCAGGATTGGCAGAGTTGGGGTCTCCTCCATCCTCTCGAGACACTGTGGGGCCCCACACGATAGCCCAGGGGTACTGGGAAGAGGGTGGTCCCTCCTCAAAGCCTGATGGGGTGGCAGGGGACGCAGTGCCTGGTAGGACTTGCCGACGTGATCTTGGGACCCGAGGGGATCGGCTTGGTGGGGGTGCCCGCTCCCATACACATACGTGGCGTGGGGCTGAGGGACCTCCCCGGGCACATGGGGGGCGGGCTGGGGCTGGTGGGGTTCGAGGAGAGGAGGAGCCCTGGGCAGGTAGCAGGAGGGGCAGCAACAGCAGTGGCCAGAGAGGGAGGAGGTGGGACAGCAGTAGTGCAGGCCTGCAAGAAGGGAGAAAGTGAGTGAGACACAGGCCCCACTGGGTCTACATGTGAGGAGGATATCAGAGGTCTGTCCTGCCAGGGTCTTCCCTGCAGTTTTCTATGCAAAAGCTGGTGGGCCTTGGGCAGATTCTGGCCTCATTTCCTATATCCCTAGGGTCCAGCCCCCAGGGTGAAAGGGCCAAGAACCTAGGGAAAGTAGTCTCCATGCTTCCCTCTGCTATGCCAAACTTACCACATCCTGGATTCCACGTCTGAGGTCTTATTCAGCTGTGACTCAGATTTTCAGTTTTTACTGGGGGGGAAAATAGGGATAGTCACACCCCAACCCTGCCCCCCAGCTCATTCATTCACTAATTCTGTGTCCCCTCCCAGACTGCCCAGCTGTCAGCTGGGCCACTGCCATCCAGGAACCACTGTTGTTTAGCATCCTTTTGAGGAATAAACTCCCAGAGTGATTCCCCGGACCAGTCCCCAGCCCCTAGCTACAATTTCCCAGGTCCCTGTTTACCTCCCCACCCCAGGAGCTATTCTCCCTTCTCCAGCTTCCTTCCTTCTCACTTCCTCTGCCTGCAGCTCCAAGCTTTTCTTAGATCTTAATTTAGAGTCAAGAACCTTGTGATTCCTTGAGCACCTACCACTAGGGAGGGAGCCTAAGGGTTGGGGGAGGGGAGGGGAAGTCAATCAGTGTGTGTGTATGTGAGAGAGAGAGAGAAATGGGGGACAGCTTGCCCATCCAACTTAAAGTCCAAGTCATTTCTCTTATGGTTAGCCTCAGGAGCCTGTTTCTTCCAGGAGAAGGGGAGGAGGAGATGGAGGTATGGGAGAAAAGAGACAGAGACAGTGAGTGGTGTGGGTGGGAGAAAAACTACAGAATGTTTAATCATTCAAATGCATAGATGCCCTCTAAAGGGAGGTAGAATTGGAAAAAAGGTCACTGCACAAATGTAGCACTCCTGAGCAAAGCGTCCTGGGACAATTGGAATCATTGTTTTTGAAAGAGAAAGAATATACTCTCAGAACCTAGGTGGACTCAGTGAGGGCAGGCGCCCTGAGTGAGTGAAGCTATGACACCCTATGTTCCCTGGATTCTGGGTCTAAATCTGCACAATGAGTACTCTCTGAATAGCAGAGACATATATGGGAACGACTGGAAAGATGGAAATTGGGAGTGGGCAATGGGAAGAGATGCCAAGGGTTGCAAGAGAGGTGAAAGATGCAGAAAAAGAGCTCATAAAGTAGAGGTGGTGTTGGCAAGTCAGCTCTGGTGGAGAGTGGACTGGAAAAGTAAGGAGAGAAGGGGGTCCAGAAGAAGAGGATGCTGAAGGCAGAAAAGGATGAGAGATAAAGTCAGGGAGGAAATACAGGGTGAAGAGGTCACAGAGCAGAGGAAGGAGAGGAAAAGTGGCAGGAGAAGAAGGAAGGAAGGGTCCAGGCCAAGTTGAGAAGTGGAGAGAGTGGAAACATAAGAAAGAATAGAGGGCAGAGAAGGCCAAGGATGAGGAAAATAGAAAAGAAAAGAACATAAGAATGGAGAAAAAAATGAACCGCGAAAAGGAATTGGGGGTGGGGGGGACAGAAAACAGGAACAACAAAGATGGAGGAGTTGGAAATTGTTTCTTCCCATTTAAAGGGCTATGGTGATATGGCAGGAGAGGGCTAGGTGGAAAGATAGGACAGGGAGGAAAAGAGACTGAAGCTAGAGGGAGGAGTGAACCAGTGAAGCATAGAAGAGCTGTCGAGGGCATCAATGTCCAGCTGACTCCAAGACTCACTTGCCCCTCCGCCTCGTGTGCACATACACACACTCACACGCACACCCAGCTACGAATGTCAACTCCAGCCTGGACCCCCGCACCCTCTTCAGCCACCCCCTCCAGGAAGCCCGCAGTCCCCAGGTTGGCGTGCCACCCCCACCTTCTCGCTTCTCACCGACCTGTTGTGCGCAGGAGACGAGCCTGGGGTATGGGGAGGGAACCTCGGAGTGGGGGAACTGGGCCCCATTTCCAGCGTGGCCCCCGCCCCACCGTTCCCATAGGCCCGAAAAGAGATGGAAAGCGATGAGAGAGAGTGTGTGGGGGAGAACAAGGAGCAGGAGGTCTGCAAAGGGACACCAAGGGAGGGAGTGCCGAGATCAGAAAGCGGGCCGGAGGCAGGAGGATGCATCGACTGAATCGCTGGCTGAGCCGAAGGCTGGATGGAGATAACCGTGGGGGACAGTGACCGCTGCACCAGCGAGAGCAGAATGGAGTCGGGACCGGTCAGGAGGGATAGAGACCACCTCGGGGAAAGAGCCCTAGGGACTGGAGACTAGAAACAGGATGAGGGTGTACGGCCCGGAGCGGCAGGAGGCGAAGGGTTCGAAGTGGGAAAGGGTAGGGCCGAGTTCCTACGGGTGGGGGCGTGGGGGCTTCTTGCACTCACCTGCATGCCTGGCGCGGCGGCTCGGCGGCTGCGGGCTCTCTGGGCTGAGCGGGGCTGGGGGATTGCGGGAGCGTTGGGGGTGCGAGGCATGGTCTGGGGGTCTGGCCGGTAGCAGAGCACTGGTGCGGGTTGGGGGCGGGCGCCCGGGGCGCGGGGCGGCGGCGACGAGAGATGCTCGGCTCGGCTCGGCTCGGCTCGGCTCGGGCTGCGCTCGGCTCCGCTGGGCTCGGCGCGGAGGCTCGGACTGCTCGGTCTCCGCCTCTCCCCCTCCCGCCTTCAGGCCATGCACGGTTTAACCCTCCTGCTGCCGTGCGCTGCAGGAGCCGCGCCTAGCTCTTTTCCCGGCGGGGGGTTAAAGTGGGGAGCTGGAGACCATGATGTTCCCCGGGTTCTGATGGCGGGCTTCCCCACCTCCTTCACCCAACTCTATGGACACTCCTAGTTGCCCCATTCAGTTCCTGAGATTTTGAGTCACTCAACACTCTGGGTCCCCAATTCTGTTTCATACCCTTCCTATCCTAGAGTGCCCAAGATCAAGGCCCAGGGGCGGAAGATGCCACACCATTTTTGGATCACCCCAACAATTTGATTCACGATCTCATTCTGACCCCATTCTCCCTGAAACCAAATCAAACCCAAACCCATTGCCGTCCAGTTGATTCCGACTCATAGAGACCCTATAGGACAGACAGAATAAGACCATAGGGGTTTTCTCTGAAGCAACCCAAATTACCTTTAAAAGAAGTAAATCAAGTTGCTTATCACTGGATTGTTCTAGTTGCTCATCTTCATTGTGACTGACATGACTTCAGCTCTGATCTCATCTACCACGTGCTAGGTTCCAGTTACAGGTGCACCTTGTTTTGTGTTCTTAGAATTTAGGCAAGCTTAACCTGCCTCAGAATCCACTCGACGGCACTTAACAACAACAACAACCTGCCTCAGGAGTCTTGGTGTGGTGCTGTGGGTTAATGCACTTGACTGCAAGGTCAGGTTGAACACAATGTCGGTGGTTCAAGTTCCCCAGCCGCTCCTAGGAAACCCAATACAGGGTCACTATGAGTCAAAACTAACTCAACGGTTACTTAACAACAACAACCTGCCTCAGGGGAGTTCTTGTGTGGCTATGTAGCCTAAGCACAGGGCTTCTAACCACACGGTCAGTGGTTCAAACTCACCAACAGCTCCTTGAAAACTCTATACAGGGTCACTATGAGTTAGAACTGACTAGATAGCACTTAACACGCCTAAGGAGTCATGATGTGCTGTTGTAAGATAAAACACTGGACTACAAGATTGGTTTAAACCACAGGGTCAAGTCATACCCACTAGCCACTCCTATGAAAACTTATACAAGGTCACTATGAGTTAGAACCAACTTGATGGCACTTAACAACAATCTGCTTCAGGGAGCCCTGGTGGTAATGTAGGATAAGTACTGACACTTCAAACCTACTAGCTGTCGCTCAAAGAGAGAAAGATGAGGCTGTCTACACCTATAAAGATTTACAGCCTCAGAAACCCTGTGCAGGGTCACTATAAATGAGAATTGCCTCAGGGCCTTGCGATTTGTTCACTCTTTTCTCTCAAGTCCGACTCTGGGAGGCTTTCCTACTTCTCTATAAAAAGCTAAAGGGGTCTAAGTGGCACAGTGGTTAAAGCGCTTGGCTTCCAAGGATGTAGCAGTCAGCTTCCATAAAGATTCCAGCCTTGGAAACCCTCTAGGCAGTTTTCTGCCCTACCCGGTCACTATGAGTCAGAATGGATTTGATGACAATGTGTTTGTTTGGGGTTTTCTATCAAAAGTAGACTTTCCTGCCCCAACTCCCATCCCATTCTTGTCTCTCACATTAACCCTGTTTTAGTTTCCTCCTTGCATTTCTGGGACATCACATTCTCATAGTTTCCTTCCAACCGCACCGGTTCCCTTTTAGTTCTCCTGTGCTCAACCTGTGAGTCCTTGGCTCTTCTCTCTTTCCACATTCTCTTTCTTATGATCTCATCCAGTCCCAGGACTTAAATACTATGCAAATGTCAGTGAGGCCTAAATTTATATCTAGATCTCCAAACTCATTTATCCAACAGCATACTTGACATCTCCACTTGGATGTCATGCAAAGCTAATATGGCTCAGAAGTTTTGAATTCTCCCACCCACAATCCATTTCTCTTCCAAGGTTTCCCATTTCAGGACATGGCAGCTTCTAATTGTTCCGGGTAAAAACCTAGTGTCTTAGTTATACGGTGCTGCTGTAACAAATAGCACAAATAGATGGTTACACAAATAGAAATTTATTATCATAATTTAGGAGACTAGAATTTTGAATTCAGAGCCCTGGCTCTGGGGAAAGATCCTTGTCTCCTTTCAGCATCTGTGACCCATCATTCCTTGGAAAGCCCCATGTGTCTTGGCATCAATCTTTTCATGGATCCAGGACCTTCACAGTGCAGAGACTCCAGGTCCAAAGGACACATACTCCACTCCCGGTTCTTCTTTCTTGGTGGCAGTAGGTTTCCTTTCTCTGTTCACTTCTCTCTCCTTTTATCTCTGTAAAATAAAAAATGTTGCAGGCCATACTCCTGAGAGAACTTCCTTTTAATTGATCTGCTTATAGCAGATTTCATTATGGAATTGATTACATTATATTAAATCTTGTCATGGGAAATTGTTGTTTTCAAGTGCCGTTGAGTTGGTTCCGACTCATATCAACCCTGTATAGTGTTTCTGAAGAGCTATTGGTGGGTTTACACTACTGACTTTTTGGTTAGCAGTCCAGTGATTATCCTACAGTGTCACACCAGGATTCCTCATGGGGAACTGTTGTTGATGGTAAGTGTTGTCATAGTGATCTTGTAGAGAGTTTCCAAGGAGCAGCTGGTGGGTTTGAACCGCTGATCTTGCAGTTAGCAGTCCAGTGCTTATTCTACAGCACCACACCAGGACTCCATAGGGGATTCCTGTTGTTAATTTTAAGTGCTGTTGAGTCTGTTCTGACTAATAGTGGCTGGTGAGTTTGAGCCAGCAACCTTGAGGTTGAGTGCTTATCCAACAGCCCCACACCAGGACTCTTACTACATTTTAACTCCCAAACCACTGAGAATCCTGACCCAGTCAAGCTGACACAACACCTTAACTATCACACTTAGGAAACATCCTTCCTCCTTTTCCTTTTACTCACTGGCGACCTCCCGGTATTTAATCAGCAAATCCTTTGGTCTCTGCCTCCAAAATATCTTGAATCCATCTACTTCTCTTCATTTATATTGTTATTCCCTTGATTCATGCCATCATCTCTCATCTGGAATATTGCAATAGCTTTTTAAACTGGTTCTTTGCTTCTGCTCTTGCCCTTTAGAAGATAGTCTTCACAATATCCAGTGATATTTTAAAAACCTAAATCACATCATGCTCGCCTCTGCTTAAATTTTTTTCAGTGGCTTCTCAATGCATTTGGAATAAATCTGAACTCCTTGTAATGAGAGGCTCCCCAATTAGTACTCCATCTCATAACCAATGTTCCTGACAGGACTTCTTGCCATTGGTGATGACCCTGTGTTTCAGAATAGAACTGCCTTCCATAGTGTTGTGGTTTTTTCTTGTTCTATTACAAACTAGAAAGGTTTCAAATGGTAGCGCTTCTACTGGTCTTTCAATTCCTTCAGTCTTCTGATGGCAGACTTTACTGTAACTGCAGGGGGGCGGGGGGTGTAGGTCCAGGCACCACCAGCCATTGTTTTCATGCAGGAACCACAGTGCCAGATTCCCACAGTTTGTCTTGTCTCTTCATCTTGGTTTTGCTGTGGAAGCAGCAAGTGTACCTGGAATGTTAGCTGATTTCAATGTTCTTTACCGTTTTCCTTAGGGAGGAACCATAACGAGTCCCATATTTACCAACGATTCTAACCTTCTTGGTGCCCAAACCAGAAGAGCACTGGCTGTGACCTTTTGGAAGCAGATCCCAGGTCTTTCTTCTGGAATAAACTGGAACTGCCCACCTTTCAGTTAGTAGCCCAGCATTTAATCATTTGTTCCACCTGTGGCTCCTTGCTGTTCTAGAACATACAAAATCATTGTTTTAGCAGCCTTGTCCTTTCAATGACTTCCTCTTCTTGGAATGCATTACTTCTTCCTTCCATCTTCACTTTCAGTTGACTCCTTCTGTCTTTGAAATCTCTGGTCAGAATCTAGAGCAGATCCCACTTTATTTCATCAATTTGCTTGCCTTTCCAACTCTTCACTCTCTGAAATGCTCACCCTCCTCACCCCCACATACACCAGAGAGCAAAGATCTTATGTTTCTTGTTCACCCTGTATCCCAACTCCTATCACAGTGTCTGGCACATAGTAGATGCTCAATATTTATTTGCTTAGTGAGCTTCTCCTGGGACCACTGCCCATTCTGAACTCTTATCATTCCCTCTAACACTCTCCATTTGCCTTTCCTCTCAATATGCCTGCTCTCCCTGATCTCTGCCCTGTGCTGAATGATTCAGGCTGAGTGTTGGCTCACACCCACGCCCCTCCAGACTCCTGTCCTCCATCTGCTAAGTTATTACTATCATTAGCCCAGTAGTCCCACCTCTCGGAAGGAAGCCTGCTGTTCTGACCAGCATCTGCAGCAGCTGCCCTCCTGCCAGTATGCCCCTGACAGCCTTTCATTCTGAGGTCAGAACCACAGCAGTCAACGAAATGCAGTGCATATTGGATGTGAACCGGGCCACTGGAGATTTGATGTGCAAGTTACGCCATATCCTGGGGCACAGTGAGCCCCAGTGCATCCTAAGGATACATTCTAAGTGGGCTCATTGAGTGATGAGTATGGATCAAATCTGTCTAGTGAATACTCATTACCAGAGTTAAGCGCCATTTATACTGAGGACTTTGGAGTATTATCAATTATGTCTATTATTCTTGACACCCTCCCTTTTTTTCCCCCCAACAAGTACTTTTTGAATAACTACTATATGCTGGGCACTGTGCTGTGGGCAGGAGTTCCTGGGTGATACAGTTACAGCACT